GCCAAATTTCATAATTAGCGTTGCATGGTCTTCGGCGGCTACTGTATAAGCATGCAGCATGTTACTCGCATGAGGATTCTTAAAGTTGAAAGAGCTTCTTTTCCTGTGCCGGCAGAAATTGCAGCCTAAAATTATTATTTCCGTAAGACATACGCAGTTTGCCCGTTGACTTTTATGCCCCGTAAGGATTCCTTATGAACATCATAGTAATTTTATATATGTCTGTTGTGTTAAGTCTCTTTTGTTTTTATTATTTAATATAATCGCTTATTGCTTCTCTTGTTTACTTATTCAGAAATACACTTGATTTTACTTCCTAGATTGAAATATCTAGAGATATGTGGTTAATTTTCGGCTTAGCGTTCTACTATATCCGACTAAATGCATTAGACGTATTTTAGGTTTGAAAATAACCTATCATGGTTAACCATACGCTCGCAATTTTTATGAAGAGTCAAAATCTGATTGCTAGTTAACTAATCTCTCCGAATTCGTTAGCCTCTTTGGTTTCCAATCTTGATATAAGTAATTGCACTCCCCACGTGGAAAACATTAGCGACATGCGGTTTCTTTCCAGATATCCTTATCACAATAACTGTCCAAATGCATAAGACGCTATTTTGATTGAAAAATATAGGGAAAAGCCAATCTGCCATCGTTTTGAGTTTATCTTGAAAAATTCATAAGCAATCCACTTAAGATTGCCAGTTAAGTAATTTTGACCAACCCGTACATAGTATTTGCTCGGTTCTTGTTTCCGGTTAGTTTTACTTCACAATGACTCCTGATTTAATCGCGAAGGTTTTTCTGTTTCCTTCGATTTGCTCATACTTACAACTCGTTCATATTTTACTTGTCGCGCGTTCATTCCTTGATGTGTATTAGGTTATTTAAATAGTTGTTTACTCCTGTTTGACACTCTGTTTTTGTGCATTTCCTAGCTCACGCTTTACTCCACGCATATAATTCCTATGAATACTACTCTCTCATGACAAAAACAGTTCTGTTACTTTGTTGTTGCTACTAAGGTTTCCTTACTGAAGTTCATAATTAACTCAAATATATCGCAGGAAAATTATGCCTGGAAATATCATCTGCTGTACTCGTTTGGTGGACAAGTAAGTCCTTCAAATGTGTATTCAAAGTAAAGGCAATTTTCTGATGCCAATCAGCGGTATAACTACCACTTGAGTGGGCATCTTTGTAAGTTATAGTTTCTGCAGGCGGTTTTTGACTGTTAGTTCACGAGATGGCACAACTATTTTAGTTTACTTGTCTTCTGCTCATCTGGCAGCTGCTAAATTTGAGATGAAAATAATAGCTTCTGACTAGTCAGCACAGAATACTGTGTTCGATCCTTGCGTCCCTTTAATATAAGATATTTCAGAATCAATAAACGCAAAACGAATCATCCAATTTAAGTAAACGGGATGCAGGCCGATTCCAGTTTACGCTTCCAGATCGGAGGGCACTGGTAGCACTATAGTGGCCGTTAGCTCAATCGCCGCACGAACTGCTGAATATAATTGGACATTCCAAATTCACTTCCGACGTCATCCTCTCATTTTTCTTTAATAACTACTCGATTCCAAGGAAACGACCTCCACCAGGCCCGCACTGGCAGCTATCTCTGAATGCTCTGCAATTATAAAAAAACTAAAT